TATAAGGTAATTTCATCAGATGCTCTTAATTTAAAAACTCTTTGTTTACCAGGGTATCTATTCGTAGATACCCTATTTTATTTTCATATTCACCTGGGTATCTATTCGTAGATACCCTGTAAAAATTCGAAAATTTTAAAAGTTTTTGCCAACAGATGCCAGCACTTGACGGTAACGTCTTCTATACCGTTTGTTTCACATATTTGCGTCCAGGTGGCTTTCGCTGACTTAAAAATTTTTTTTTTGTGATTTTTTTCTTCATTTCAATATATTTTGATAATTTTTTATTATATTTTCANCGATGAAACACTTGTTTTTCCAATGTTGTCTCTTTTTGTTGTGAATACTTGTTCTGTCTCATTCTTTAGCTAATGTGGAAAGAATATTTTCGTCAATAAATCTGTTAAAAACGAAACAAAGAAATAAACTGACCTCTGAAACAATCACTAGCTTACTTCTTACTAAACAATTAATTGGAAAAAATTACTGTTATGATTTTCCTGTGAAAGAGTTATCTTTCACAGGAAAATCGTAACAGAATCGTCAGAATCTGTCAGAATCGTAACAGAATCGTCAGACGAATCTAATGGCATATGAAATTTTCCTTTCTGACTGTAACTTATCGAGTTATTCCAATCTTTAAAGTAAAAAGCCGATCATCCTTTAGTATCGCTTTTTCAATAAGATCTGATTATAGTCCCATTTAAATTAAATGCTTATAAATATATCTAAAATTCTTTCACATATTCTAGTGCAGAATCGTCTAACGAATCTAATGGCATATGAATTTTTCGTAACTGACTGTAACTTTTTGAGTTATCCCAATCTTTAAAGTGAAAATTCGATTATCTTTGACTATCGCTATTAAAGATAAACTGACCTCTGAAACAATCACTAGCTTACTTCTTACTAAACAGTTAATTGGAAAAAATTACTGTTACGATTTTCCTGTGAAAGATAATTTAATTTTAGTGTTAAAAAACATACAAACGGAAGTTGTTGAATAATAATTATTATTATTATTATTATTATTAATATCCGAAAAATAAAAAGTAATTTTTTGTTAGAAAGATAAGACAAAATGTGCCTACTTAATTAGTAAATTATTATTTTTTTACGTAAGTGTTCTGTGTTGGTTTTTTGTTTTTTATTGTCTTATAGTTTATAATAAAATAAATGACGAAAAAAATGTTATTGTTTATGTTCAATCCTCTTTCTTCAAGCTACAAAAAGTCGATCTGCGGAAAATTGCCTGAGTAATCTACCGATGGCAAGCAAATTGGCGTGGCAACTTGAAAGTTTCAAGTTCCACTATACTTTCATCGGAGTTCTTAGACACATTCTTCTTCAGGATGTCAGAAGGTTAAAAATATCGTTTAAAAACTACGCTATGATCAGCTGGAATCTATTTATTCCTTGGAATATTTTGTATCTATCGCTGACGAAATATTGTACCTAAAGTAAATTTAAAAAGACTTAAATAAACAGTTGACGTAGATTCATAATTTCCTTTGGATTTAGATATGCAACACTTATTAGTCATTTTAAATTAAACGAAACGGCGTTAGGCTTAAATTCACGTTGTTAGGCTTTCAACATATAAATTGAAAACGTTAAACTTAACAAAGAAAATCACCGAGTGGACTCCGTTTCCGCTTAATGTGGTCACCAGATCCTAAACACCGGAGTTGAAGCCTCACTCGGACAAGCTGGCAGCGGGAGTTTGTCAGGGTTTTCCTCCTTGCCAATGACGCCTGAATAGGGGCCAGCTTCCCCTCCAAGTCCTCCCGGAAGGCATTCTATCTTTCCTTCTCGCTTGAGTCGTCTCCTATAAGGCCAGCTTTGGTCGCTTCGTGACCTCTCTCCTGTCTTCCTGGGATTGGTCGTCTTCGATAAGACCGACTCTTTGGTCGCTGTGCGATTATCTTTACTGATTCTTTCCGAGTGAAAGGCGAGAGCTGCAGCACTCCACTATCGTCAATGAAATAAAAAGAAAATCACGTGCTAAAAATGTATATACAGTAGAGCGTCGATTTTCCGAAAGTCAATCATCCGAAAGAATTCCAGTCGGTAAATTAAAATTTTCGCCAGTGCTGTGGCGCTTCAATCTTTGGCTATGACTTGGGCTACTCAAATATTTTATGTTTTTGATACTAAATTAACATCTGAAGTATAATTTTTTTATTATTTTTATATTTTTCAATATATTTATTTTGTTTGTACAAAATAAAAAAATAATTTTTAACGATACAATAGTCTTTGTTAGGCTTAACATCGACGAAAATTCAACGCGAAGCGACACGCAACGGAGAAAAATTTCGACATCGGATACGTTAAACTATTTTTTCGTACGTAAATCAGTTATCCGAAATATCAGTTATCCGGACAACCCCAGTCCCCAATTGATTCGGAAAA